CCTTATGTGGGGAGAGAACCCAATCTTCCCTCTACTCTTATTACTCCCTGTAGTAAAAGATTAACAGGAGAAAAACACAAAAATTCTATAACGTGTGTATCTGCTGTGAACATGGAGAGAGCCCGGGAGCCGAGTCACTCTCTGAACGGCCCGCGCCCTCCCCGTGGATACTCTCTCCAGCGGAAGACCGGCCCGGGAGCCCGGCGGGGAGGTCTGCAGGCAGCGCGCGCAGACAAGGGTAGACTCATGCCGAGGGCGCCGCCGGAGCGTCTAGAGACGGACAGCCGTCCCCCTCTTGCTGGCACGGGTAGGGGGACAACCTAACAAGTGGAGACACTCCGCAGACACCCCTTAGAAACCTAAGTGACTCTTCTTAAATGGGTCACTTCTAGCTTCTCCTGTGTTTTGTTTTTTTTTTTTTAAGATTTTATTTATTTATTTGACAGAGATCACAGTAGGCAGAGAGGCAGACAGGGAGAGAGGTGGATACAGGCTCCCTGCTGAGCAGAGAGCCCGATGTGGGGCTCGATCCCAGGACCCTGAGATCATGACCTGAGCCAAAGGCAGAGGTTTTAACCCACTGAGCCACCCAGGCGCCCCTCTCCTGTGTTTCTTAAAAATAATCGGGCTGAAGTAATCCTCCAGCCAAAGAGGCATATTCTGGGGTGACGAACTCAGCCCCCTGCGGCTCCCTGGCCTTTCCCTCTCCTTTGTTTGCTTCCCGTTCTCCCTTCATGCTCTTGCTTCAGGGGAGACACTGTCCCTCCGCACGCGCACTCCCTCTGTCCCCCAGCCATCTCCAGTCCACTCTGGGCCCACGACTGCCACCTCACTGGCTTTCTCTCGGCAACTGAAAACACACCCAAGCCCGTGGTGCCTTAAACTCTCCTCAGCGCCCCTCTAAGCTAGTGGTTTCCAGACCTCCGCTGCCATCCCGTTGCACAGTGAGTGTCTGGAAAGCTGAAGCGCTGAGGGCCCTGTGAAATGGGGGGGCATGGGGTGCAGTGAGGGCTCCCCGAAGAGGAGACACGAGAGGAACAGGCTCTTCTGGTCCCGCTTTCTCTCTAAATGCCACTTTAGTGACCCATAACGACAGAAGACGAGGGAAGGCAATGGAATTCTGAAGACAGAAGATGACTTAGCAGCTTGGAGAAACCACACGTTAAGTCCCCGCGCGGTGCGAAGCCAGCAAGTAGCCAGACTGCCCGGCAGACTCCAGACCCCGGGCCTGTGCAGACGACGGTCAGGGAAGAGGGAGCAGGAAGGAGCGAAGTCTGTGTAGGGAGCGGAGACGCCCAGCCACCTCTTCCTGGCAGGGGGCCAGTGGGATACTGTCCAGAGAGGCTTGGTACTGGGGACACCGGGCCCAGCTGACGGTGGGGTGAGGCGGCACCCTGAAAATGGAGATGGAAGGAGAATCTGCATGCCTAGAGATTCTGTTATCTGGAGCGCCCCTCCCCACAAACAGATCCCCCACACAAGGCTTGCCAACCATCAGGCCCTCTCCCCTGCACACAGGACTTTCACTGCCCACATGGTATCTGGATTCTCAATACCAAAGGCCAGTAGCCAAGGATTACCAGCATGTGAAGAAAACCTCTAAAGAAATACACACTGAAACAGGCCATGCGGGAAAAGATGAAAATGTAAACCAACCCCCCGAACACGTGATGACTGATACCTTCCCAAAGATGAGCAGTGACTTCGAGCTGGGAGAACAAGGATGGCAAAAATAGACACAAGTTCATAGAAGAACTGGGAGTCAAGTAGACTAGAAGGAAAAATACCTAGGAAAGGGGAGGAGAGAGAGAAAGACGGGAAAATTAATCCAGGATACATAATACCTGAGTATTAGGAGACCAGAGAGAGAACAAGAAGGTAGGAATGAGAAGGAAACTCCCCACGGTCCAAGATGGTGAGTTTTCAGATAGAAATTCCCAGCATAGCAAATGAAAGAAGCCCACAAGAAGTGGGGCACCCGAGCAGCTCTGCTGGTTAAGCGTCTGACTTCTGGGTTTCAGCTCAGGTCATGATCTCAGGGTCATGGGATTGAGCCCCACATCGGGCTCTGCACTCAGCACGGTGTCTGCTTGAGATTCTCTCCCTCTGTCCGTGCCCCACTCGTGTTCTCTCTCACTCTCAAATAAATCTTAAAAACAACAACAAAAACCCACAAGAAAATACACCATAACCTCAGAATCTGAGGGGAAAAGGAAGACCTCGCAAGTCTGCAGAGAGGAAAGCTCAAGTCCTGAACAGAGGACGGTGGCACCTGTTGGCACCGGACTTCTCAACAAGAGCGTGGGAACGCAGAAAACAAGAATGCCTTTAAAGCTCTGCAGGAAACTGTTTCTAGAATTTTCTACCAAGCCACGCTGTTAATTAAAATTGAGTGGGAAAGAATGTGCTTCAGCAAAATGAGGGAGTCAACAAAGAAGGGGCCATGGGACACAGGGGAGACAGGGGACACAGGGAAGCCCTGGGTGGCATGGCGGGACACCCCGTGCATGGAACCCAGAGGTGCCTGGCTGGCTCAGGCGGGACAGCTTGTGACTCGATCGTGGGGTCGTGGGTTTGAGTCCCATGTTGGGTGTAGAGGTCACTTAAACAAACGAACAAACTTAAAAAAAAAAAAAAGCTGATGCCCAAAATGGCTGCATTTGAGGCCGAGTCACTGAACCAGGACTCTGTCTCCGATCATTGTACTCTGAGATTTCCTTAGAAACTAGTCTTCACTGGTCAGTCAGGAATTTTCTGCTCAGCACTGACGAGGTCATCTGTCACGTGGGCCCTTCCCCATGGCCCAGAGGAACCGGAGGTAACCGGCCTAGTAAGACAGTCCTGCTCCCACCGGAGGGAAGGTCACCTTGCCTGAAACAGTCCTCTTCTCTTGCTAGTGACTTCCTTGCCCGACCTGCCTTCCTGTAAAAACCTTCCATCTGCACAGCAACTCCGAGCAGCCCCTCTGCACGCCAGATGGGACGCTGCCTGCCTCGAGAGTGCGGTCAGAACGGTGATCAGATCTTCGCATCTACCGAGTTGTTTCTGTTCTTTACCAGTGCTCAAGGCTGAACGGATGCGTACAACACTTTCTGAGCATGAGAGGCCGAGTTACTGTCAGAGAAACTTGAGTGGGGGGCGGGGGACAAGGGGGGAACCTGCAAGCGATTTTTTAATTCCAAGAAAAACAGAAAAGTTGTCCAAGAAAGGAGATCAATGATAGTACACTCCGTGCCTGATCTGAGAACAGTGTTTACATAGTTCTAGTGTTGAGATGAATATGGATTTGAACCGGAACCCCGACAGGAGTCAAGCGGAGGGCCGCGGGGCGGTGCAGGGGCACGCGCTGGTGGGGCGGCGGGGGGCACGGGTTGGGGGTGCAGAGCGCCTCCCAGAGGACAGAGCCCTGCGCGCAGGGAGAGGGGCTTCCCGCCCTCTGCCCCAGCCTGCTGCCAGGACTTCCTTTCACAGCCGGGCACAGAGGTGACGTGGTTTGCCTAAAGCCACAAGCCAGGCAACTGGGTTCTAAGGTCTGCGCTTTAAGCCGCTGTGCTCCCAGCTGGGGCGGCAGCCAAGTCCCCCGCAGTACGAAGACCAATACCAAATGCCACAGCTTGAAGGCTTGGAAGCGCTGCCTCCAGGGAGTGGAAAGGGGTAGGCGATTTCACTGATCGGGTAAAGCGCTCTGACTTTTTACATTATGGACACATAATTAGTTTAAAAATTTAATCACAGAAGAGACAATTTAGGGCCCCAGTGACTGACAGAGCGGGTCTCCAGGGTCTACTGGCTTTGCCTGGCCGTGCACTCTTAGATCCTCACCAAACCTGAGAGCTGGCATCGCCCGACGAGATGCTTCCAAGTTTCCTTCCGGCTCTTAAGGCTCTGGCGGGACAGGGCCAGCAGGCACCACGGAGTGCCTGTCAGGGCGATGTAGGGCGGGGTGGGTGCCACGCCGGGCCAGCCCCCCAACAGGAGGCCACAGGGGAGCTGTGGGGTGTTTCAGCTGAGGGCCCTCTGGGCGCTGCCCTGAGGAGAGGCCGCAGGGACCAGAGAAGCAGGCCCTTGTTGGGGGGCAGTCTTTGGGCGAGGGTGGTGACGGCGACCAGAGACAGATGGAGCCTGGGTTCCCTGGGGAGGAGCTGCAGGCAGGTCATGCCAGTGGTCGGGATGCAAGCGTCAGGGACTCGGATCCCTCCCACATGTCCGGCCCCACCAGCCCACCCCTCCGTCCCTGTCGCTCCTCTCGACGCCCTCTTTGTGCCCAGGTTGGCCCATCCTCCCTGGTCCCCCAGCAGCAGCAGCCTGGCCACCTTCGGCTCCTTGGCGCCGACATGGTCCTAGTCCCTCTGTGCCTGCGCTCCGGCTTCTCCTTGATTCACCTCCAGACTGCCGTGCCCAGCATGCCTCCCTGAGCACCCCACAGCTCTAATCTGTCCTTCTCTGTCACCAGAGTCACCCGAAGTAGAGCTCCCACCACATGCCCGTCGTGCTCAAGGTGTCCCCGTCCTGCCCAAGGCCCCGGGCGCGCCTGCACGGCCGGCCTGGTGCTGCTCCCACGGCCAGGCCTTTCCGACCAGAGTTTACCTGAAACACATGAATTCCTGACACTCCGCAGGCTGGTGACCGAGGCAGTGGACAGGTGAGGAGGGGACAGGCGTCAGCAGCTGTGTGGGTCTGTGGGGGCCATGCACCCTCCCCAGATGCCTTGAAGAGGCAGCGTGAGGCCAAGACCTGTGACACCAAAAAGTGTTAGTCCTGTTGGGCCAAGTGTGACCTCTCCAAGGGCCACTTGCCACGTGACTGGCCTCCAGGGGGTGTCGCCCTCCAGCTGTTCCTGGCTGGTGGTGGGCTGCTGCCGGCAGATGGACTCATCTTTTGTTTCCATGTGCAAAGTGTCTTCCTTCCAGAGCCTGCCATCATCACACAGCGCTGGGCAAGGAGGGCAGCGAGGTGCCAGGCCTTGAGGAGCGAGAGGCCCCCCCCCCGTAACTTCTAGTTTTGTTGGAGTCACTTTGACACAGGGGACTTCTATCAGTTATGTAACAATCTGTGGCCCAGCCCCAGGTGAGCAGTAAATATTCACCTTCACATGAGAGCCAAGGCTGCAGCGCTGAGTCACGGGGAGTCGGGGAGCCCCACTGCCTGCTGGGGCCTTGAGCAGGAATTCTGGAAGGTGTGATCGCTCCAGCTGGCTGGGTCAGACTGCCAGGACCGGAATGTAAGCTTAGGACTGAAGCCTGAGTGATTTCTTGTAGCGGACTGTGCGTGACTGTCTTGTACATGTGTGCGTACATGCGCTGTGTATGTATATAAATACTTGCTTATTGGTATTTCTAACTTAGCTACAAAAAAATTTATAGTGTCACTTTTAAAGTCCTAACTGGCCTAAGAAAACAGCGGGTCTGCAGAGTGATCCCCAGACGGGCTGGCTCCCTCTATCAGGTCTGTTCTTACCTAAGTGCCTTTTCCCAGAAGACAGGGAAGGGTGGCCGGTGTTTCTCGGACGCGGTGGTCCAGAGCGGTGGGCTCCAGGCTGTGTGGGGGTTGGGAGCCTCCGCCGGCCCTCCCCAGACCAGGGGTCCAGCCCCCACGAGGCCCGCACGCTCTTCCCCGGGCCTCTGCCACGGACAGTGTGTACCATCTGCTCGCTCTCTCCCCCGCAGCTTCCGTGGCCCGCATGGCCCGCGTGTTCGTGTACGGGACCCTGAAGAGAGGCCAGCCCAACCACGGGGTCCTGCGGGACCAAGCCAACGGCTGCGCCGCCTTCCGCGGCCGGGGCCGCACACTGGAGCCCTACCCCTTGGTCATCGCCGGTGAACATAACATCCCGTGGCTACTCAACCTTCCGGGGCAGGGGCGGCATGTGCTCGGCGAGATCTATGCCGTGGACGAGCGGATGCTGAGCTTCCTCGATGAGTTCGAGGGCTGCCCCAACATGTACCAGCGCACCCCGCTGCGCATCGCCGTCCTCGAGTGGGAAGGCGCGTGTGGGGCCCCCGAGGAGACGCCGGCCGCCGACGGGACCCTGCAGTGCTTCGTGTACAGCACGGTCACCTACGCCCCCGAGTGGGTCCACCTCCCACACCACGACGATTACGACTCCCAGGGGGAGCACGGCCTCCGCTATAATCCACGGGAGAACAGATGACAAGTGCAAGGACGGCTCCTCCGCTGGGGTGGGGAGGTGCGGGGGACAGAGCCCCGGTGATGAGAGGACGCCCTTGGCCTGGTCGGCACGCACTGGGCGCCTTCAATGTCCGTGGAAACAGTTGTAAAACTCAGTCCGGGAAAAGGAACAATCTCTCTTTCAGTTGCAGCTGATTCCCCCAGTATTTGACACACTGATCCCAAGATTATGCCTGAAGCCTGTCTATCCCATAGCGCTTTGTTGCTTGCTGCTTCAAGAAAGCCACAGGCTTGAATCGATGGGATAAGGAAAATTCAAGATCTTAATTCCCCTAAATGACATTTCAAGAACTCATATGTCAGATTTTTCTTTCTTTTGCTTTGCTTTGATCTGGAGATAACATTTAAATTGTAGACTTTGTGTAGCAGCTAGATTTCAGCAACCCTACTGTATTGATTCTAACTTGTAGCAGCAAGAAGAATTTTTTAAACTGATTTGGGTTATCTCACTGTAATAAAAGAACCCCAAGAAAAACGTATTGTGTTTGGGTAGTTTTAAACTGTATAAAACATTAGTTTTCACAATTTTCAGATCAAGCTTATTAAAAAAGGGATTACTAAAGATGATCATATAATATTGAACTGGGTATTTTGGGAAACCAAATTTAAGTGTTGGTACTATTATTGACTTTATGGGGGAGAGCTCTACTTATGTGGTAGAAGGTTCTTTTCCTTCTCTTCTAGCAAAATCACAAGCCATCTACTTGCTGGCAGATGCTGAACGGCCTGATTTCAGACGGACACGCACCCAGGCCTGAGGCCCAGGGACAAGGTGCCGTCCCTGCCTCCGAAGGGAGCTGCATTTGGGGGGTGGGAGGGCCTTTCAGAGAAGAACCAACACGTTAGTAATTTGTTCTTCAGGCCTGACAGAAAGCTTAGCTTCCAAACACAAACAGCACTTAAAATAATTCTAGCAAGGCACGAGTACCAATTACTCCCCCCTCCATCTGATGACCTGTCCGCGTAGACTCCGAGCGGCGCACGACTCTGCCTCTGCTTACTTACCAGCCAAGTCAGAGACAGATCCCGAGGATCTCAGAAGCAACTGAAAAACGCAGCTGCTGGGCCTCGGTAACCTCGTTCTCCGCTGGGAGGGCTCCCATCTTCAACTTGATGGTAGACCGTGCTCACTAACTCCATCTGGCACAAAGACAGATCAGTATTTTTAGCCCTGTTTTAATTGGAAACTTACTTCACAAAAACACAAAAAGGCAAGGATGGGCACCAGCGGATGGGCTTGTGGCAGCCACACCCACCCCTCTTGGGGTGAGGGAGCCCAGCACAGTCTATGGGATGGGGTGGGGAGGGTGGGCGTGTGGGCCCAGCTTTCCTGAAGCGGCTGCCCCCTGGGCCCCTGGGCCCTGCACTTACCCGTGAGAGCCATGCAGTACGGATTTCCAAACTCCCCGGCAGACCCACGCGGGGCTTTCGGACGTTCGGAATGGGCACAGATGGGCGCGAGGTCCACAGCCAGGCAAAAGCAGGTAATCCGATTATAAGGTGGTAAATGCTAATTTAATGAGACTAAGGCAAAGAACTGGGGTTTACAGAAATGTTTTTTAAAGGATCACAATGAAACACTAGTATTTCAAGTCTACTGGCACAGCCAGTAGCCTCTTATGTACATTGTCTTCATTCAAAAAAAGGGCAAACTAATATTTAGACAAATGCTCAGCTTTATTGATTTAATTTTGACACTAGGAAATCTCACAGCAGAAGTACAAATCATATGTACAAGTATTTATATCAATAAAAATTTCCATTGGTGATTTTTTGGCAGAATGTTGGTTTTGACTATATGTGGAATAAATATGACCATGTAAAATCTGCTGCACAGGAGTGTTCCTGCAAAACGCTTGACTAAATTGAGTGTGAAAGAATAATAATACAAATGGCTAATTAAATTGGGTGATGACTGAAAGGCTATAAATACTTCATTCCAGTTCCACCAGCAGATCTCCTTCTCCAACTGTGTCCCCAGCTTTACAATGCACTGATTTCACCTTGAATTAGAAAAGAAAAGAAAGAGGAGGGGAGAGTCAGTATTGTTAACTGGACCACGAGGGTGCCATCTCGTCACCCGTTTCTGGAAATGAAGAGACAGCCCGGCAGGCTTTGGGGCGCAACAGTCGGCTCCTGCTTGGCAGAGGGGGCGGAGTGCACAGGGGTGTCCTCGGGAGGGCGGTGACCGGCCATCTTCCCCTCCCCCGCGCCTGTCCGGGTCTGTCCCAGAAGCTGCCGGTCCAAGGGAGTCTGAGCCACCCGCTGCCCCTCCCCCTGCCCCCCTCCGCCCCGCACTAGGCGCGCGGGGTGGGGGGTCAGCAGCGCCCCTAAAAGCCGGCCGCCCCGATGCTGCGTGAGCTCTCAGCAGCCCGCCCCCCCACGCTCGGCCGCGGCTTCAGGTGGTGAGTTACTGGTATCCTTCGTGCTCAAAACCCAAAACCAAACCAAAACCCCACACGATGATACAAGCGCCAGAACGAGGACCACTAATAGGAGAAAGTTCTCGGCCCGAGAGCACAGGGCTCCCTCTGAAGCGAAAGGAAACGCCGCGAAGGTGTGTGGCTGCGCCGCGGGGACTCGGTGGCCAGGTGGTACCGGTCCTCAGGGTGTGCGGACCCGTCGGGGCTTCGGGCGCGTTTCGGCCTCCCGGGTGGCTCTGCCGTGCGGGGAGCGGGAGGCGGGGGCTGCACACCCGCGGCGGCCACACCCGCCCGGCGCTCCGGGCACCCGAGAACCGGCGGGCTGTCCGGGGCCGCGGGGTCGGGGGCTGACCCGCATCCCCGGGCCGCCGCCGGGAAGTGGAAGGCCAGACGGGCCCCGTGCGCCTCGCATGCCAGCCTGGGGCCCCCGACGACTTCAAAGGCCTGGAGTATGCTCCAGGCGCCGGGAGGCGGGGGGGCGGCTCATGAGGCTCGGAGGGGACGCATTTGCGCGGAACGCATCTTGCACATGGCGCCCACGACAGGGAGGACCAGCTTCCATTGTGAGCGTCTGCTCCGGGAGGAAAAACGGCTCTCCGGATAAGAGCGGCCCAACCCGAGGCTCACCGGGCCCGCTCCACGGTGCTGGGGCTCTGACCACGCCCAGGGCGCCCCGATGGGGCGCAGCAGGAAACGGGATGGGCAGGAAGGGCTCCAGCTGACAGGGGTCGGGCCAAAGTACAAGCTGACCCGGAGCCCCTCAACACCCTGGAAGCAGCTCCCGGGCCACGGACAGCCAGAGATAGGCTGAGCCTCGGCAGGAGACCCAGAAGCCACCGTGAGACCAGGCAGACCCTGAACACACTGACAGAGGAGGGCTCCATGCTCCTTCTGGAAGCTAAGGCCACGTTCGTTTTTGTGTTGGTACCCCAGTCCAGCAACAGGTGCCCTTGGCATGCAGCAGACGTCTATGTATATATACATGTTCTGGGTCCCCCCAAATGAGGTCAAGTTCTCATCATGCCTGGACATCACATGAAACTAATGCAGCAGAAATGTTAATTGCAAGGGGCAAAACCACCAATTTCTACAAGAACAAAGGCCATTTTGGGGTTTTTTAGAAAAGGAGTCAGATGTAGAGGCCAAGATTTCCAAATCTTGCCATTCTCCTCTCCCAAATGCCACAGAGACGGCCTCGCCAACGACAGCCCCTTCCAGCCTGACCAGGCAGCCAGCTCCGGGCCCGCCCACCCTAAACTGGGCATCTGCTCCCAGCCAGGCCTTTGGTCTGGGCAGCAGCCTCATTTCCTGTTGGGGTGACAGAGGATGTATCTCTCTGATGGAAATGACACTTGGAGCAGGGAGTACCTCTCTACCAGGACACCCATGTCCCCAGAACTTGATCCTGGCTTCCCACAGAACGGGCCACGGAGCCGGCCACAGCAGTCTCTGCTCCCCTCCTTGCCCCCCACCGCCTCACCCCTGGATGCAGACACCTCCAAACAAAACTGTCCTTCAGAAAAGGCTCCCTCAGCTGTGGGTGGCATCTTTTTAGAAGCAAGAAGAATAATGAAGTTATCACTAAAAGGACTTCTCTATTTTCCTCAAGGAGAAAATACATGTGAGAAGTTTTACTGCTAAAAAGCTTCAGGACAAAATATGATTCCATTTTTTTTCCCTCCCTAAATCATTATGTCCCACATGTACATGGGGCTTTCAGCTCCTCTTGATCTAAAATTGTCTAGAATTGTTCTCTTTGTGGAGAAGTTATCTTGAAGAGTTACATTAATTTCTGCGATCTCTCAAACCAGTTCCCGCTGTGCCACCGAAGTCTCAGGCGACTAAGCGCCTCCGAGACAGATGTAAACATTAAAAATTAAAGACTCTTTAATTGGAAAGACATGAAGGTGAAAGAACAATTGTTCTTTGACTACCTGCGCGTCAGACGGACTCTCCATGAGGCGGGCCACATGGGAGCCAAGCAGAAAGAGCTCCCATGTCCTGGTCTGGAGCGAGGAGCTCCAGCGAGGAGCTGGCAGGGGTCACCTCCACGGCGCCTTCCAGCCCTAACCATCCAAGATCCAAAGATGGAAGTTCTGCTTCCTGTCATAGAGCTGGCAAGGGCTGATGGGAACTTGGGGACATACCTTGCCAGTTTTCCCAGCGGTCATGCTGTTCTGCATTTTCATGGCTTCAATCACACAAATTTCCTGACCTTCTGCTACCTGGAAAAACAAATAGAAAAGAGACAAGCTTTAAAATCATTCTGATTTTGCAACAACACTCAGGGGCGAAGCCATCAAGAGATTATCAGAGGCTCTGCAATTTGACCCAAAGAGCAGCAAAGACCTCTAAGACTTCATGTTCCAAGTAACTCTTTGGGGGGCAGCAGAGAAGGGCCGTTCCCTCTGTCCTCATCAAATGCCACAGAGATGTGGCCAAAATGGAATGTTTCCCTCCTAAGTGAAAATGTCCAGATTTGGCACAGCTCCCAGATGGGAAGATCTATGGTTTCCGGGGGCTAGGAAGAGGGGAGTGTTACTTATGGACACAGGTTCTCTTCTGAGTGGGGAAGAAAATGTTCTAGATTGACAATAGTGATGGTTGCCTAAGAAATTCCAGGACTAGACAAGAACTACTGAGCGTGCACGTTACGGGGCCAAACTGTCCTGGGCGGGGTTTTATCTCCACAAAACCATTACCCAAAACTAGAGCGTTTCTGTCCATAGCCTTGGGGAGCTGGGAACAGCAGCAGCCAGGGGACCCCTGTCTCAACCTCTGCGAGACCGGCCAAGTAACAAGGAGGTGGCTCCTGGAAGGTGCCTTCTGACATGGGAATGACCGCTAACAGCCGTGCCTGGTCCTCGAGTGTAGACCAGTGGGGCTGGGTATGGGCTCCCTGGATGAAGCCTGGGGCTTCCAGCCAGGAGGCAGCTGTGACCGAAAGCCACGCTCTATAGTCTGTGTTCGCTGCCCTTGATGCGTGAGCACCAAGGAGCTGAGCCGGGCTTCTCTCCTCTCTCTGTGAAAAGGGCCTCCCAGTCTCCGACACGGTGAAGCCGAGTTTCCTCGGGCAACTGGCTGGCTTTTCTAGGGTGGTGGTGGGCATCCTGGGGTGGGGCTCCCAGACACTCACATCGGT